AAAAAAAAAAGCTAATAGGACATTATTGGGACAACTGGGGGAGACATTAATAGGGACTGTACGTTAGATGATATTGTATCAACTGAAAATTTCTTTGATGTGATAATAATGTGGTTAAGGTAAGACTGTCTTCTTAGAAAATAGATGCTGCAGTATTTACAGGTGAAATACTGTAATGCTTCTGCCTTTCTTTAAAATATAAATATATACACAGTGGGGCCTTGACTTACGAGGGTCCCGACTAACGAGTTTTTTCGAGATATGAGCTCGCTCTCGGCCGACTTTTTGCTTTGAGTTGCGAGCTAAAATTCGGGTTATGTACGAGCCAGTTTCAGATACCCCACCGCTAGTTGGCGCAGTGAATGTCACAGTGATTTGACATACGAGTAATTTGAGTTACGAGCTCCATTACGGAATGAATTAAACTTGTAAGTCAAGGCCCCACTGTGTGTATGTGTGTGTGTGTGTGTGTGTGTGTATTTTAATTGATTTTTAGAGAGAGAGGAAGGAAAGGAGAGAGAGAAATATTGATGTGAGAGCGAAACATAGCTTAGCTGCCTCCTGTACGCCCCCTACCGGGGATTGAGCCTGTAACCCAGGCACGTGCCCTGACTGGGAATCAAGTCAGCACCTTTTGGTGCCTGGGATGATGCCCAACCACTGAACCACACCACCCAGGGCATTCCACCTGACTTTCTGTGTGATTGTGTGGTGTAGGAGAGGGTAAGAGAAAGCTAATGTGGTTTTTACTGGTGACACCAGGTGAAAGTATACAGATTGTACTTCTTACAGTGTTTTAAAAAATATATATTTTTATTGATTTTAGAGAGGAGAGGAGAGGGGGAGAGAGCAGAAGCACCAATGATGACAGAGAATCATTGATCGGCTGCCTCTTGCACACCCACACTGTGGATAGAGCCTGTAACCTGGGCATGTGCCCTGAGAGGGAATGGAACCGTGACCTCCTGGTTCAAAAGTTGACACTCAACCACCAAGGCATGCCGGCCAGGCCTTACAACTTCTTTTTGTGAAGGTTTACATGTTTTCAAATAAAAGGTAGGGGAACTAAAGAGAATGATCTGTCCTTGCCTCCCTTCAACAGAAGAGATGACTTTCCGAGTTTCCTGCTAACCTCCTCCCTTCTCCTTTTCCAAGTAGAAAATACAAGGTGACCCTGCCGGTCCCATAACCATGCTGCCAGTCTTTCTCTAGGGAGCAGCTTCCTTGGCAGGCAACTCTAGGACTTAAATCGCCTTTCCATGTGCGAAATGCCATTGTTTATAGCGTTTGCAACCAATAATTTGGCCTGTACACTGCTGAGTTCCATAACGACGGCACAGGCAGGCTTTTTTTCCCCTGGATGCTGACAGCTCTATTTAAGTGACCTTTCTCTTTTCACACATGAGCTTCTCTTTCAAAATACAGTATATTTCCAAAAAGCATATATACTAATGGTTTGTCCACAACATCTACAATAAAACACCATCTACAATGTTTTAAACTCTTAGTAAATTGAACATTTATTTCCATTTAATGTCTCATATCACTTAATTTTAACAATTTATCTTTTAGTTGAGCAGTAAATAGCCTTCCCAAAGTGCTTTTATAATAAATGCCTATAATGGGAATCTAACTGTTTTATTGAGAGATAGAAAGGTTTTCATGAAAAAGAAAAATTATACATGAACAGTGACTTTGGGCCAAAGGGTAAAAACAGTGCTGGGATGGAAATGCATTTGTCCGAGTGGGATCCTGAACTCAGAAATCTTTTGTCCTCTGCCTTTTCACAAATGACAATGTTCTCATCCCTGCTTAGGGATTTCATACTTAGGAATCCTGCGTGCTGCCTGGGTATGTACTATACTATTTTAGTTTGAAATTTCCCTGCACTCAAGACTTTACATTTAAAAAAATAAACAATTTATAAATGGGGAAATCTGTAAAAATGAGAGAAACTCAAAAACAAGGGGAAAGCCCTAACTGGTTTGGCTCAGTGGATAGAGCTTCGGCCTGTGGACTCAAGGGTCCCAGGTTCAACTCTGGTCAGGGCATGTACCTTGGTTGTGGGCACATCCCCAGTGGGAAGTGTGCAGGAGGCAGCTGATCAATGTTTCTAACTCTCTATCCCTCTCCCTTCCTCTCTGTAAAAAAAATCAATAAAATATAATTTTTTTTAAAAAGGGGAAAATATACCATCCAAAAATGTAGTCAGCCTTTGGAGTTCGGTATATGGAGATCTGACCTATATAAGGTTTCTAAAGAATTGCTGAGACACTACAATGAAAAATGAATACCTGGTAGTTTTGCATGTGGTGGTGTTATCTCTACTCTCAAACGGAAAGTTGGACAATTAGGTCAAGTGTTTTTGTTCAAGGTTATAGGAAGCCCACAAATTGCAGGGAAAGGGATTTCTTGACCCAGCGATATTTCTTTGGACAGAACTAAAGAGCAGGCTACCCACTCCTAACATTTCCCCCCCAAGGCTCGATCTCCATATTCTGTGCCAGGCAGGAACTGATGTTGTTCGTGCTTACTTACTGTTCACAATAACAATAAGGGACTCAGTAACTCTCTGCTTTTCTGTTTCTTTGTGTTCTTATCCCCAGAAAGACCCCCAAATTTAAGGGTTAAGTTCTTTGAAAGATGAAGTAACTATTTACTAGTTAGAAATCTATGGATAGCTCTACTTACAGAAATAAAAAGTATTTCAAGTAACACTATCAACAACTGCATACCAACAAATTAAATACTGAGATGAAATGGACAAATTCATCAAAAGACATAAACTACCAAAACTAACTCAAGAAGAAATTTAAAAATCTGAATAGATTTATAAGGAATGAGAATGAGAGAAAGGAAAATTAATTAGTAATTTAAGAACTACCCACAAAGAAAAAAGGCTAGGTGAGAAGAATCTGGTGAATTCTACCAAATATTTAATAAAAATCATTATCAATTATTCACAAACTGCTCTAGAAGACAGAAGAAAAGTGAACACTTCCGAACTCATTCTGAGGTCAGAATTAACTTGACATCAAAAACAAAGACACCACAAGAATATCTCTTATGAATACGGATTTAAAATCCTCAACAAAATAACTAGCAAACTAAGCACAGAAACATATTAAAAGAATTATATATACCATGAACAGTGGGATTTATTATAGGAATGAAAGGTGGGTTTAATATCTGAAAAATCAATGAATTAATATACCATATTAATAGAATAAAGGACAAAATCATCTCATTAGATGTTGAAAAGCATTTGACAAAATACAGCATTCTTTTATGATAAAAAGACTCAACAAACTAGGAATATAAGGAAACTTCCAAAACTGATAAAGGGCATCTATGAAAAGCCCATAGCTAACATGTTAGTGGTGAAGATTTAATGCATTCCCTCTAAGATCAGGAACAAAACAAGGATGTTCATTTCTGCTACTTCTATGACACACTGTGCTGAAGATCCCAGGCAGAGTGATTAGAGAAGAAAAATAAAATAAATCATTAAAAGACACCTACACTGGAAAAGAAGTAAAATCATCCCTATTTGCAGATGACATAATCCTGTATATAGAAAATCACAAAAAATTCACTAAAAAACTATCAAAAACAATAAATTCAGCAAGGTTACTGGGTACAAGCTTACTATACAGACATCTATTCTATTTTTACATACTAGCAATGAACAATACAAAAATGAAATTTAAAAAAATTCCATTTATAGTTACATCAAAAAAATATTTAGGGATAAATTTAACAAAAGGACTACGTAACTTTGTATCTGAAAACTATAAAACATCATTGAAAGAAATTAAGGACCTAAATAAGACTTAATATTGTTAGGGTGACAATACTCCCCAAATTAACCTGCAGTGTCATCACAATCTTCATCAAAATCCCAGCTGACCTTTTTGCACAAATTGACAGGTCAATGATAGAAATTCAAGAGACCCATAATTGCCAAAAAATCTTGAAAAAATTGGAAGAGCCAATTTTTGAAACACTTCCCGATTTCAAAAATTAGTACAGAGCTACAGTAATCAAGACTGTGTGACTGGCACAAAGGCAGACATACAGATGAAAATAGAATTCAGTTCAGAAATAAACCCTTATTTATGGTCAATTGATCTTTGACAAGGGCGCCAAGACAACTCAGTGGAGGAAAGAAATACTCTTTTTAGGAAATGGAACTGGGAACTGGATGTCCATGCAAATGAATGAAGTGGGACTGTACTGTACATCATATATAAAAGTCAACTCAAAATGGATCAAAGTCCTGCATGTTAGATCTAAAACTATAAAACTCTTAGAGGAAAGCAAAAACATATCTCATGATCTTATATTAGGCAACGGTTTCTTAGTTTTGACACCAAAGCACAAGCAACAAGCCCTGCTGGTGTGGCTCAATGGTTGAGTGTCGATCTATGAACCAGGAGGTCACAGTTAGATTCCAGGCCAGGGCACATGCCAGGGTTGTGGGCTTGATCCCCAGTAGGGGAGTGTGCAGGAGGCAGCCAATCAATGATTCTCTCTCATCATTGATGCTTCTATCCCTCTCTGCCTCTCACCTTCCTCTCTCTGAAATCAATTAAAAACATACTTAGAAAAGAAAAAAAGAACACAAGCAACAAAAGAAAAAATAGATAAACTAGAAAAAATTAAAACATTTTGTGTTTACAAGGACATTAAAGAGTCTTTTTCTAATAATACAAAAGAAAAAGATGGTCCCATTAGTTCTTGAACTCTAATCCCCAATTAAAAACCTTTAAATAGGTTACTTCTCAAATTACAGACTACATTTAAAAAAATATATTTTTATTGATTTCAGAGAGGAAGGGAAAGGGAGAGATAGAAACGTCAATGATGAGAGAGAAACATCGATTGGCTGCCTCCTGCATGACCCCTACTGGGGATGGAGCCTAAAACCCAGGCATTTGGCCTGACAGGGAATCGAACCCATGACCTCCTGGTTCATTAGGTCAATGCTTAATCACTGAGCCACAGTGTCAGGATTAAAGACCGCATTCTTAATTCCAGCCAGCTGCTTTAAAAAATATGTGGAAAACAGGCTAAAGACAACACAAGAATAGAAAAAACACAACTCGTAATATATGTATTCTGATCAGCTACCTCTTCACACATGAACAGCAGCACATTAATGACGAAATTTTTAGAATTTACGTTATAAAATGAATTGGATGTTTTTCTTTGGTGTGATTTTTTTTTTTTTCTGAATGGATTCAGAAGAAAACCTTCATGGAGGGCTAGTCAGAGAGATGCCCTCCAAATGTTTCTGCTTCTGTTAGAGCTCCCTAGCTCCATAATTAGCAAGCACGCCTGGAAGGCTCAATCTTTAAAAACTGGGCACGCTGCCTGCGGAAGACGGGCGTTTAATTCAAGGTCAGCATGCCTTACCCAGTCCTTCTGCCTCAAAGCCCTGCCACGGCTATGCAGACAATATGGACGATGCTTATTTTAAGTGGGGATTTAATGAGATAACTGTAAATAAAACAAAACAAAAGATAAGGAGGACTAGGCCTTTTACAGAATGATTTTGGTTGTGAAACTCCCCTACACTGATTTGCTGTTGCTATTCATGCTGAAGAAATTATTACCCTCTTGTAGTGTAAGATTTTAGAAATTCATAGTGTTTCTCAGTGCTTTTCTATCTTGGTTTCCATCCTCTGTCGTTACTTAAAAAAATTACTACTGTCAAAACCTTGCGCATAGCATCTCTGGAGATCAAATCTCTGTATAAAGCTCAACAGAGCTTCTCAACTTGCTATATGGAAATTCATGCTCTGGTAGAACACTGGTAGTTTCTAACAGAAAACATGTCATAAATATGCAACATGAAATTACAGCCAAGAACATGTATCCAGGAAAAACAAACAAACAAAACAAGCTGCTCGATTAGATATGACTGGATGTCAGCAAGATCTCTTTCACTTTTGTTGGGTATGTCTTCATTGATTTGTTGTCTAAATAGTAGCAGATGCCAAAAGTTTAAAATTACATGACTGGGAAAAATGGAAAATCTGGGACAAGCTGAACTAAAAGCTTAGCTCTTTATTTGAACTGGGAAAGGAGCACCTTTATGCCTAGATTTGGACCAAGTGTAAGAGCACAACGAGGGTTCAGAGGACAGTTTCAGGATCGCGCTCCAGAGGACAGTTTCAGGATCGCGCTCCAAGAAGGCTGCAGAGGCCGGATGAAGGTGTAGTGACACTATCACACAGAGGCCCTGCTGGGGCAGGAGGAGCGACACAGAACAGCAGGCGGGTCCACTACAGGAGGCGGTATAGTTAAGGTTACTCATTGCGGACAACTAGATAATCCCTCAGGGATCCATGAGAGATCACATGTTTTCACTTGGGTTAGTTTACATTCTTAAATCCCTAACATACCAAAGGAAAACAGTAAACCAGCCAGTTGCTTCCACAAAATAGCATCTCTCAAACCATGAACCAACAGCAGTTACCACAACATCTCCATGTCAACCACCTACCACCCCATCTGTCCCGAGGACACATCAGGTCAGCCTAACCTAAGGCGAGTTTCCCTGAGGTCGAGACGGAAACCCATAATGTGCCAGCTGAGTCACAAGGACCCTGCTTCTATTCTACCTGCGTTTCCTTCAGAAACCGGTGCTTGGATAAGGAAAGGTGGAGCCAAGTACTGCCACTCACACAGGTTGAAGCATGTGAACTACAGTGAAACTGGGCGGTGTGTCAGGAATCTGAGGCTCTTGGCCTTTATTTTCATAAATATTTGACAACTTTAAAGGTACCCAATCTGTCTCAAAAGTTGGATTCCAATTCAGTTCCTGGAGACAGAGGCCTTCGTTTGAATTCTGGCTTCACTAGGTACTGGCGTGACCTGGGAAAGAGACAAATCCCCCCAGTATTTATAAAACAGAGGTAAACAGTGTCTACTCAGAGGGCTACTGTGCGGATTAAACGAACTAATGACATATAAATTAAAGAGTGCCTGACCCATATCATAGTAAACATTAAGTGTGAGCAGCAGTAAACACATACAGTTATTGACAACTAGAGGCCCAGTGCATGGAATTCGTGCACAGTATATGTGTGTGTGTGTGTGTGTGTGTGTGTGTGTGTGTGTGTGTGTGGTTTCCCCTCAGACCAGCCTGCACCCTCTCCAATCCGGGGTCCCTTGGGGATG